AGGGATTGCAGAGGGCAGGGTGAAATTTGAGGATTAACAGTGCATGTCATTTTATTTGTATTCACTTGTATTTATTCTAATTCACTCATTTGAGTTCTGACAAATTATAGAACCATTTCACCTGAAAAATTAAAGAGCTTGTGTATTGCGAGCTGTTTTCAAAAAACAAAATTTTTGGTCAGCATCTGATTCTGTCCTTCATGGTTCCTCACTCTGCTAGAGTTAACCTACAGAACATCTTTCTAATATGGTCCTTTAGTTCACATTTTCAATAGGAAACAGATCACGTCTAGACTTGAGTTTGTTTCCCTTCACTATTGGCTGGCACATAGTTGTGTCTAATTGGATTTTGATTGTGGACCATCTCATGAAATACAACTATATCAACTGACCATCTCACTTGTCATCTTATAACCCCAAATACTGTTTTGATCTCTCCATAACCCATGAGATTTCTTATTCCTGATCAGTCTTCAGGTTCAGGGTTTTTGTTCCTTAATTCCTAAATCCAATCTCTACCAATTTTTGTCCTCTCCTTTATCTGGGATTAACTCGAATCCTGACTTTGTATTTTTATTCCTTTACTTAACAGTTTCTCAACCGATCTCCAGATTCGTTGGCCTTGGCCTCAAGGATCTTCTTCTCTTTACCAGAATACATTTGAATTTGTAAGCTAAAGTTTTGTGAGTAGCAAGCAGTAATGAACATGTGTCAGGGCTTAAGAAATTCCAGGAATGAGTATATTTAAAGAAATCTATAGCAGATGGCCGAAGACATTAGAAACTTGTTGCCATACCCTATTCCCCAAAATGCAGGAACAAGGCCTTTAGCTCTGAAGAGAGCAGTTTTACTTTTTTTTTTTAACCCTCACTAAATAAAGGACTGAATAAAGAAATAAACTTAAATATGAAAGATACCAAGCAGCATGAAGAAATTTGGATGTAACTGTAAAAGTGTCTATTCAAATTACTCACTTTCCTTACTGGCTTTAAGCTATTTGGGAGGGCTGGCAAGTAAATCAGGGTACCAAGCAAAGAAGCGCACAAAGCTGAAATTTGTTAGTACTAGCTTTCTGGGTTTTGAACAGGTTAACATACCAAGACCCTAACCAGAGAGGCTGTTAATACATCTGCTAAGAGTGTATATCCTGGGACTTTACAGGTATGATTTCAATTATGCTGTAAATGTTTATTAGTTGTGTAACCTCAGAAAATTTACCAACCCTCTCTGAAAGTTCCAGCTTTTGATCTAAAGCTTAATGCAAGAATTTTCCTCACAGATTACGAGAATTAGATAAGAATGTAAAACATTGTGCCTAATACACGGTAAAAGCTTAACAAATATTCATTGTCCATATGTATTTTCTTTTTCAGGAAGAACGAAGTTAATGATGATTAATTTCTCTATAATTTTAGACTTAAAGTTACAGGTGTATCCCTCCTGCATATTGAGAAGAAAAAAAAATCACGAATTCACACATTTTTAGACAACTTCTAACACTATGCCAAAACTGATTGTGCTGAGTGAAACAGTCTAGCAGATAATCTTGATTTACAGCAAGGTCATAGAGAATAAGAACCTTTATTTATTTATTCACTATGTCTTATGTTACATTCTCACACATGCCTAAGGATATTAAAAAAAAAAAAAAAAGAGCCCTAATCTGTCCACACACTTATCTGGAAAATCAGAAAAGCTAGCATCTTCATTTAAGACATCAAAATGTTTATAGCTCTGACAACAAATATCTCATAGTTTATTTCTAAAACAGCTCATCAGCTGTAAATTGTGCATTTAAGAATTAATTTATTAAATCCACAGTGTTACTCAGCCAAACAAATATTGACATGATGTATCATCACAATATGCTCTCAATAACAGCTTTTACATTGCCAGAAATCAGAGATTTATTTCAAAAACTGGCTCTGCATTTTTCTGCCAACCTTGTCCAGTGTTTTGTGCCCATTGACAAAACTACTAAAACAGCCTCTGCATAGCAAAGCAGGTAATAAACCTATTTATCAAAAGTTCACAAACCTATTTATCAAAAGTTCACAATTTTCATTACTGTTACAAACAAATGTGCATGCATTTACTAAAAGAGTCTAATGTATTTATATAGATTACTGAAAGTTAAAATTTTCAAGCAAAGTGAGATCACAGAAATATTCAATCACAAGCTCTCAGACCCCTTCCCATTTGCCCTCTTTGGGAAAATATTTTAAAATGATCCTAGGGAAAAATAATGACACACTTATAATGACCCACAGTGTGGACTTTCTAGTCATATACACCTAGGAGTCCATCCTATTTGTAACAATTTGGACACAATCTAAAATGTGGCTTAATAGCAAGTGAAGAAATTCACACTGGCACTTTGTGTGGAGATTAAGACTTAAATGAGATAATGGATGTATAGTGCTGGGAACGTGCTCAGTAATTAAAAAGGGATTTGAGCCACATTTTCATTATCATATGCTTACTTACTTCATTTGATAGATGCTATTTTGAGATTTAAAATTTTTAGGGAGCCCAAGAAAAGAGAATGAATCTTAAATCATTTTTCATCTCCAGTAGTTAACAGTATCCATGATATAGCTAACGATTTTAAAATGGAAGAAAATGGTTTTCTGAAATATTTCTGGATAGTACATTCCTTCCTACAGGAAATGGGGAGAAGTATCGAGAGCCACACATCAATTATTCTAGCTAAGAAAGTTACTAGGTAGGAGACACACATAGCTGTGATTTACTTTTTGTTTTTATGTAGTCTTTCAATTACATACTTACTGAGTACCTGCTACGTTCAAGACAATTTGGAAATACCATTTGTCATATTAGGCTCTTATAGTTACTGTTTAAATTGGGGACAAATACTGTAATCCTCTAATAAGTGCCACAATGGAAGAGTGTGGAAAATGCAGTTGTATTTAATTGAAACACTTAAAGCCCTGTCTGGATGTGGTGAGGAAAGGCTCTATGGCTTATGAAAGACAAATGTTCACCATGGATACGTTAGAATATGGCACAGCAGAAATCCTAAATATCATTTGTAGTTCAATGTAGCTGCAATCACTCTCACAAGACCAGTTCGAAAGGAATCATGTGTCCTAAAAATTACACATTTTTATCCTGAGTTTTTTGACTAGCAGAACTACATAAACATTTCATATCCAAAAGCTCATTGTAACTGTGTGGAAGAACAGCTTTTATAATAGCACACACAAAGACAGTGGAGGAGGGTATGAGATATACTTTGTAAAAAGAATCAATAGAGTTTTGGTTTGATGTGGTAAGAAAAGTAAGAATGATTTCCTAATGTCTGATTTTGGCAGTTTAGAGGATACTGGGTTAGAAATATAACTTTTTTGAGACTAATTAATGGTTTCATTAAGTAACCTAATTTAAATAATGGTTATCCATCTCCAGTACTATCAAAAGGTAGTTAGAGAATCTCTGAACAGGAGGTAGTAATGGGTAAGTCTGGTTGGAAAAGTAGGTTACAGGGGACTAACTACTCTTGTAGCAGAAATTTTCAAGAAACATGAAAAAACAACAGTTGTCTTATAGGGCTGGGGATCACAGGTGTTTAAAACCCCATGTAGTACTAGAATCTTTAATTACCAACATTTGGTTTTTAATTAAGATTTTAATCTTAAAATCTTACCATATGTATACCATGAATATAAAAACAAACATTCATGATCATTACAGACACACTTTATAACCTGAAATGAGAATTTAAATCTAACACATTTCTCTTTAAACTTATAATTCAATACAGGTAAAGTATGTTTAAAAAATACTGAAAGATTCTAACAAAATGTTGAGAATCCCCAAGTCAAACAAAGAATCAAATTTCAAAACTGCCTCTTTAAGCGATTTTATAAAAGAAGCATTGTTGTGAAGAATATGTGAAAGTGTATGTCAAAATATTTAACATATATTCAATACTTTTGGATGAATTACATATGTAAACCACATGCACATGATTTACATAATTTTGCAGTCCTGTAAATAGTCTCAAGAATACTAACATAGTTAACTTAAAGTATGTTGTTTCCAATTCATAAATATTTCAAGGTTATTGGGTCATTCTTAATATTCATTTGAGGGAAGAGGGGCTAAATAGGCCCATATATTCTTCTCCTTGACTTTTCTTTAAAATAACTTACTTTATGATATAGCATGCCAAAATAACATTAGAGTAGAAATATTTTGAAAGGAGTCTTTATCATCAGTGAGACTGTTAGTAAGCACCTGTGCATGTAGCCACTAATAAAACAAGTACTGGGGTTAGTTTCCAGGATTCCAAAAAGTAATTTATTACTTAGGCACCTTAAGATAATCATTTTCTTCTACAAAGTGAAAACATAGGGCTATCATCCTTAAACAGCTTCAGAGCAAAAAATCATGAGGGCATTTTTTCATATTCTTCTACACTACCAACTTAATGAGATAAAATTTAGGGGTGGTTCCCAGAAATCTGTACTTTTGATATGCTAGGTTACTCGGAAATCATCCAGATGTGGGAAATACTAGCTAGACAATTACTATAACTTTTTATCAGTCAAGTAGACTGGCATTTGAAAATATATACTTCTTTTTTTAAAAGATTTATTTATTTATGCACACAGAACTGCGGTACAGGCCAGAGGTGCAGGGGTGGCGAGAGGATTCACCAGAGACACAGAGGGGGGAGAATAGGCAGATCCATGAAGTACACTGCTGAGGGGAGCAGCGGGTGGGTCAGGAGAGGTCTGCCGCGCCATGTGGATCACCTCCAGGGCCGGCAAGGTTCCAACTCATGCAGAAGTGGCTTTAGCTTCTTAGTGCTGCGCTTTAACCTGCTGCTCCACCAGGGAGGGCACAGAAAATATATACTCTTTCTTATGACCATAATCACCTATTGTCATTCATCTTCCTACTCCCTCCTCCCAGCCCTTTCTGGAGTAGATATTACAGCACTGGTTCAGACTGAATGCTAAGAGTTCTAATAATAAAGAATAGACAAAAGCATTTATTGCATAATAAAATGTATTTTCAGATGTTAATTATGTGCCAATAGCGCACTTAAATACAACACTTCAAAACAGTCTACAAAAAGAACCTACAGATCACATTTATTTAATAACAAAATATCTAGTTCTTTAAGAAAATGAAGTTACTATAATAAAATTTTCAAACCAAAGAACAAAAATGACTTTAAGGAACAGGACATAAAATTTTTTGAGCAGATGAGGCTTAATATTGTTGAGCATCAATTTTTGTTTATAAAAACAGAAACTAAGCATCAGCAGTATAGTCTCTGCCTCAGCCAAGACATTTTTTCCTTTGCAACTGAGAATCCTGCTGTTCATTTGTAAAGTTTAAATATATGATGAATGATGAATTTCTTAAACTTAACTTCAAGGATCACCCTTCAGATGTTCACTCTACTATATTTCCTTATCAATTGTTTTTTTTTTTTTTTTTTGGTCTCTAACAAACCCAGGGCCAATGATAGGGAAGATACTGAAACACACTTAGGTAGATGTTGGCCATATAATACTTTATTTGCGAATATTGGAGTATTGAAAGCCTACTATATTTCCAGGACTAGTAAGAGTAAGACTTCTGCCTGCTCACAACTAACACAGGAAGCAAGCAAGCAAGCAAGCGTTGGTACTAATTCATTACAAGCATTCACTTCACTTTTCAAGGTCTGTATAGATGTTGATAAGGGAAAATGAAATCTACTTTCATATGTTATTCTTTATATTCTCAGAAGGGGAATGTTGACAAGGTCTGTACTTTCCTTTCCCCAATTGCTTTCTGCTCCTTAAGACAATGTCAAGTATTTGGTTTTCCCTAACACACACTCTGCAGTTTTGTGTATGGGGCTGGCTCACACTGTGACACTCTGCTACAAGTGTTCTACGATCTTTTCTTTCTTTCCTCCCTACTGGAATCTTGGTCATGTGGGACTTTCCCATCTTCCCCTTCCTGGTTTGTTAGTCAATCCTATGACTAGTAACACGAGAGGCTGAATCTTTAGTAATATTAATTAGTACTTTCTTAAGCTTTGTTGTGAGCATCAGATCTTCCTTACAACAATACTTTCTGAATGCTGTTAAGAAGTACTCCCAAAAGACAACGGTTTCTTGAGGATTCCCATTTAAAGACTGATAATTCATCGCTCAGAAAAGAATGTTTCTAGTTTTTCACTTCCCACCATTACAAGAATTGAATTCTGCAAAATTATGGTTAAAATGCTTTAGTGTAGGATATCAATTTTATACATAAGAGCTAGATAGAACTTTTTGATATTAAATTTGTATGAATACATAGAACCTGAAACTTAGAAGTCCTAAATGATAAAAAGTTTGGGTAAGTATCCACTGATGTCTGCATCCTTTATCATGAATGAAATGTAGCTAAAAATTTAACTACTTAAGTCTGCAAGTCAGATGTTATCAAGCAAACTGACCTGTGTGATCCATAACCCTTTACAATTTTTAACTCAAAGACAAATTGGAAGATTCAGCCAATTTTAATTTTCCAAGTATTTTCTCAAAGAATCATCAAAGCATCCTTTAGCTATTAAGACACAGCTAGATAATCCATTTATTATCCAAATGAACTACCTGTGTTGTGAGGTAGCAGTGAAAACTTATGATCTTCTGTGGAAATGGTATCCTCAATGCATACACATTCCCTCTTCTCATGGAGAGTGTGAACAAGAAGGGACAGTCATCATTTGTAACTCCATCAACAATTGGTGTTTTCACAGGATTTTTAAATGCCTGATTTCAATTTTATAACAACAGCAACGATACCAATATTTATTCTGAAAAGGAACAACATTCCAAGTGGCAGATTTTAACAACTTCCAACACGATCTCTAGGTATAATTCGTAGTTCTGAACCATGCTTTAGAAAAACATTTCCTACGTAAATAAACAAAACATAAAGTTAGGCATATTAAAAACCAACTTATGTTAACATTCCAATCATTATTACATACAATAAACAAAGTGGTGAAAATAGGTGTAAAATCTCAAACATCATTGAAACTCAATTTCATTTACTGCCTGTTTGTTCCTGTCACATTTTCATTAACCAACAAAAATCTGACAAGTTTTAAATAACACTAGTCATGAAAAATATTAACATAAATACTTAGCAAATAATAATATAAATCAATGTAATCATCAATATTTGTCTGAAATCATAATAAAATGCCTAGAGACAGAAAAAATAGATCTGAATTAACCTAAGTGGTGAGAGTTTCAAAACCCTGAAACTATTTTGGCTCATTCTGTGCTGAGATTTTCTCTTCGTATCTCATGATATAACCACTCAACTTTTAAGGGCAATACAATAGATAGCATGTTATAGTAAGCAGTAATGCATATTAATGTAAGCTACTGGATATTTCTATAAAAAAAAAAAACCTTTAAATCTAAATTTAAAGTTACCTCTACAATAAAATATCCCATGATTTTCAATGAATAACCTTTTTCAACACTATAGACTTAAGACTACTGATTCAAGTTAAAAATTACACAATTTTATATGTCTTTATTTTCTGTACGGTTGAATTTCAATCCCAAGAGTCATCTCTATGAGAACAATGTAATTTGTTATAAAACATAAGTACTTTAAAAAATGTAATTTAAAATTTTCTACTGCTTGAGATTGAGGTTCTATTAAATTATGCTTCATTTCAAAACATAATAATCAGATTCTAAGTCAAAAAGGATCTATCTAAAAAGCATAATCCACTTTTTATAAGTTTCAGACTACTTCTACTCTGTCTGCTAGGACATCAATATATATATAAGATTGTATAATGTTAAATTTGAAGCTCTCCTGAAATTTAACCACAATTTTTAAAAATAATCATACAGTACATTTTGAATAATCACTATAGATAATGCAAGTTTTAAGCATTTTTATATATACTACCTCGCACTTATAAGGTTAGTCAAAATCATTATTCTCATTAAGAATATTACATTACCTTCAGATTTGTGGTTCTGTATATTAATTAAATGTTTGATGTTTATTAATGAATTTGCTTAACTAAGTTTTCTTTTTCTTGACAGAGAAATATGATTGATACATATAATGAAACAAGTTAGTACTCAGACACATAGGTCAAGACTATTGTATGATGTCTTAAAAAAAATTATCACAGTAAAGTAGCAAATTTACCTGTAATGAATTAAATATTCAGTACATAATCCCCCACAACTATGTAAGTTCAGACAGATACTTACCAGCAGTCTGTGCAGGATTTATTCCTATTCCATCTAGAAAATAAGTTTTTAAATCACCTCAGTTACTTCTAAAGAGAACATGGCTTAATAGTAACAAGAAGAGATTTGTTAACAGCACTGCTATATTTACAGGCATGATTTAAATCCAAGAATTTGGACAACAACCTTTCACATAAGTTATCTCTTGAGATCTTGTTAGTATTAGGTATTTAAACACATTGCTGGATTAGACAAGAACAACTGTCAATGCAAAGATACTGATAAATTCTAGAGAAGACAATGTTGTTGTTTTATTGTGTCGCCTACAGTGAAAAATAAAAGCACTTTTAGACATGTCATTAATCACTTATATAATCCGCTAAGACTAAAATCATTAATTTTATTTTTCTATATTTTTCAAACATCCTTGTTTATTTTTTCACAATATAGGATTTCTCCTGTAAGGTGTGATCACCAGTTTTCCCACAAAAGTACCCACAGTCCTTTACCACACTCTGCCCCACTCACCTTCCTTCCTATTCTCTATTCTCTATATCCTTGTCCTTCCCACTCCCCTCCTGAGTATCTCAGATCTATGGTCTATCTACTTTCAAGGGTCTTAGGATTTGTTTTTGTCTGATTATGTTTGATTGCTCTAGATCACATATATAAATGAAACCATTAGGTACTTAACAAGGTGTAAAATCTTAATGGCATAAGAGCCCACAGAGCCATTTACTTTGTTCTGATATGTGAGCAAGGTTTAAAAGCAGCTTCCTAATTGACTTTCATTTGACTCAAAAACCATAAAGTAAGCTAGCTGTATTCCAGAGAAGTCTTCAAGGTGACAGATGCAGAGTCTTAGAAACATAAGAAATTCTGTCATATTTTTGTGAGTTATCAGACTTATTTATTAGTAGTATTCTAAGATACTTAGCATTCAAATTACCTATCTTATTGGATATAACCTTCATTATATAAAGCCAAAAATAAAGTTTCTATCAGGAAAGCAAACACAAGATATAGTAAAGGTGTATTCTTGCTTAATTTCCTTCACTCTAAAGGCATTTACTAATACAATTTGAAAAATGGAAAAGTTATTTTTTGTAATAATCTGGCATGAAATGACAAGGACAAAAGATATTCTAAAGTACTACACTATAAGCTCCAAGAAACTGAAAAGTTAATAACTGACAGTAGCCTTGGCTCAGTGTTTACAATTACGAATATCATTTTATGTTGACATAAATTGGGAGATTTCTGAATTTACATTATTTCAATTAATTTATTTAAACAAGTTCTATAGTTCTGAGGGCAGAATTATGTTAAGGTGAATTCTTACCATTAGTAATAATTGCACTTGTTGCTGCGGGAACTTTAAACTAAAAGGGAGAAAAAAAAAGTTATATATGTGTCTATAAAATACACACTATATAGTGTATACTACACATATAGTATTATATCCTATAACTACAACATGTATACATGTAATATACAGGTATAAATATGTAAAAAGATGTGCTTTCTGAATCAACAAAATATGTTATGGAATGTATTGGTATCTAAAAAATAGAATTCTTTCTTCATGCTCCAGAAACCAGCAGTTTAATGTGTGTTCACACCCTCAAAGTTTTTTTGTTTCCCAACATATATTTATGAAATATCTCTATATGATGAGCCAATTTTATAGATATGATATTTTGTGAGCAAGTAAATTTGGAAAACACTATGTTAAACTAGTCATCTTTATAAATGTAACTCCAAAGGAAAAACAAAATCAATGAAGTATTTCCCCCTTTTTTTTTTGTTTACAGATCCAGTTTTACTTTTTCTTTTGGCATCCAGGAATCTGGGCAAAATGCTGTAGGAAATGCTATTCTAGAAGCTATTTATAATAATCATACATGATATGTATGCAAAGTTGAGAAAAAAACTTAAAAAA